TTTTTTATTTTTTCTAACTGCGCCCACTGTGCCGTAGGCCCGCATAGTACCGAAAACAACAACACGTGAGCAACAACAATCAGACATTGATGATGGGGCAAGCCCATATAATCAAAGTCGGGAGAGTCAGAGTCAGGGCTTAGTGGCTGGGCAATCAGTCAGTCAGTCCGTCAATCAAGCGGCTATATATAGTCTCAAAAACTGCATTCACACACACACTGCATACACATACATATGGCACTAGAGCCGAGCGAGATGAAGCTATTTTGATGGGGGAAAGAGATGGCGAATAAGTTGACCTGTCAAGTTCATGCGATATTCATTCCATTCAATTGAAGTCGCATTGTACGAACAATTTCAAGCTTTTTGCTTCAGAATAATCCGTGGAAAAAATGACACTACATAAATTAATAAATGGTACCCTTGTTAGCTTAGTTTTGCACACAATTAATTGATGTTTTCATAGTTTAAAAATAATTATTTAACGATTAAAGGGAAATTCTATTCAATATTATTGTTTCTGATTTTGTTTCATAAAATGGCAAATCTTTAATACTTAATATTAGCATTTAATATTATTATAATAAAATGATATAATTTATACCTTTTTGGCCTTCATAGTTACCTGTAATATGTTATTTTTCATTTATATTGACCCTGTTTCATTATATGTATGAGTTATATATCATGATATCTTATCTTATTTGTAGTATCTTTAAGATTACATCGAGCAATCTGTCAGAAATTTCGCTTCTCTCTTGATTGATGGCTGTGATTACGATTCTCTCACTTCTGATTGATGTTTAACCCTTTGACGCCCCACTCCCTTCTTTTGTCCTTTTCCAAACTTTTTTTCGGCCAGGATTTGCAGGGTTTCAGCCTTTATTTTTTTGGGGGAATATCTTTGTTGGCTTCTTCAATTTAAATTTCATTTCCCGTTTTAACTTTTTTTTGTGGCCTGTGGAATGGAGGGTTTAAGTCTTGAAACCAGCTGTCTCCTTCAGGGGTTATCAAGAGTGTTTGGTTACTCCTGTTCTTTGTGTTTGTTTACACTTGTGAATATTTCATGTGCACTTACTCATCCTCCGTCTCTTTCCCCCATTACAGCTGTCGGAAGAGGAAGAAGCAGAAGAAGAGCAAGCAGAAGAACAACCAATTTGAAGACGACTCTTCTCGCCAGTCCGCTGTATTTTCGCTTTTCGCCATTCCGGCTTAAGTTTTATTTGGGTAAGTTGATTTTTCCAGATACTCTTTGTGATTTTCAAAATATTTTAACAACGCTATGATGCACTTGAAAATATTTAAGAAACTCGATATAAGAGTTAGAAACAAAAGAACCTTATAATCAGATAATACTTAACCGATAACTATATAAATATATAATACATTTTTCAGGGAACTTACATCTTGATAGAGAAGTCTTCAACTTTTAAGTGTTATTTTTTAAGAATCTTATGGTAGTTTCTTAATTTCTATAACAATTAGTTGAAAATTCCCAATCCTTCGATTTATTTTCTTCTACCTACATAAATGGATACAAAATTGTTTCATATTTCGTTTTTCTCGATTCTTCGTTTTGAAGGGTATTTCGTAATACCCTTAATAATAACGGGCCTTCCGCCCGTTTATTATTTACTCTTGTTTTTTGTTTATTAATTGAAATTCTCTGGAATGCCAGAAGTCGAAACACTTGCATCGTAACCTGGCACTTGTTTCGCCTGCATTTGTTGGGTTTTACACACACATCTGTACACATGGGGTCTACTAAATGAAAGGGCGAAAAAAAGAGAGAGGAAGGGTTGCATTACTCATACGCCACGTTATGCAGCCGCTCACTTTATTTACTTTGTTTTTTAGTCCAACGCTTTTTGGCACGCATTTTTTGTGTGATTTGTTGCCAACTGTTTTTGTGCGCTCTTTTCTTTTTCGGTTTTTTGTACTTTTTTTTTTTGAGTCAGTCAGTTGTTATGTGGGCTTATATGAAGGGATTGACGGCTGAAAGGGGGATTGACGTGAATGCGGGGATCGAAATACTACATTTGAGTTGCGCTGGCACTTTGACTAATAATCAAAAAAATATCCAAACATTGTAGAAATTTCAATTACGTGTAATGGAAAATTGAATTACCTTAAAAGGGAGTTATTTCGATGGCCAATCGATGGAAATGTTATTTTGGAATACCTAAAATTGGCTAAATGTGTTCTAGGTCATTTCATTTTGAGGAGGTATCTTATGTTTATTTATGGTAAATACTGTTCTATTTATAAACCGGTTAGTGATTACAAAAATTAATAATTTGCCAAATGGAGGAATAATTATAACAATTACAAATCAGTTATTAAACGGGATTATATATTATAGGTATCAAAGTGGTAGATTTAAAATAATAGTAGAAATTTTTTTTTGATTTTAGTTAATTTTTCGTAATAAAGTAGTGCATTAGGGAATTATTTTATGATCTGATATGATATAAAAAAGTTCTGGAATCGTTTATGAAACAGTCATAACTTGGTTTTGTGTAGTTCTACCGTTTTCAAAAGCCTCGCTTTAATATCGCCATGAGTACCTTGTTATCCCCAGATGAGCTCATCTCCAGTTGCAATGTCCCTAATTGCCTTTTGACCACATTTGAGCTTTCACCCGCAAACACGTGTGGTTTTAGCTGCAAGTTGCAGCATCTTGTGGCCTGGCCCTCTCCTTAACCTTATCCCTTAGCCCGAATCCAACTAATTAGCCCTTGGCCCAGGCGGCAAATGCAAATAGATGGCTTTCATAATGCGCTTTCTAATTGCGATGACATAGAAGGGTTGTGAGGGGAGGGGGGTTTATAAAGTTGTGCTGTAACTCGTGTACAGTGGTGTTCGACATATTAGAACTGAGTTAATAGCTCTAAAGTTGATTTATTTGAAATTTTAACATGAATTCAAAACTGAATTTTTTAATTTATAATTTATTTTATAAATAAAAATAAAAGAAAACTTTTTTTAATAAACTTGTATTTATTTGAAAATAACTAATGGTTAAATTTAACTCGTTGCTTATTTGATAATAAACTTAGGTAGTTACTTAAGTTAAGTACTGTTAATTTGAGCACAGCTGTAAAAGGGTTAAGAGGGGTGGTGGGAGGGAAAGTCATGTAAGTCATAAGCGAAAAGGATGCCCAGGACAGTACAGCTTTCTCTTTCTCCCACCCTTTCTCTCTCTGTCCCGCTCTCTGTGCCAACATGCTGCGGCAACAAATTGTTGCTCTGTTATTGTTGTTTTCGTTACATTACTTTGGTTCTCCTGTTTTCATTCACTTGTTTGCTCGCCTTCTGTTTCTCTCCTTTGAGCCCGGTTTTTCTCTGCGCTTTGCGCTCCCTTTCGCACTCTCTCTCTTGGCCACGTCGCTCTCTCTTCGCTTGCTGCGCCGTTGCTTTTGACCATTTGTCTTCCGGTTTTTTCCACTTGCAGCTTGTTTTGCTCTCCCTCTTCCTCTTTTCCTGATACCCTTTCATCTAATTTGCAAAGAACTCAATTTTATAAATAATCGTATTATCATATGTAGTTTTTAAGTAACTTTGATTTAAGTTCATTTTTAATAAAACCTTAAATTGTATACTTTCAAAAAATGTTAAAGTAATTGTTTAAATAATTTGAGAAATGTTTTAAGGACTGGATATTATGGTCGTTAGTTATAAATAAAGACGTAGAAAAGGTATTATGTTCCAAATAGAAATATAAAAGTGAAATAACAATAATAAATAATATTCCTATTGGCGTATTCAGAAATGTTTTGGTTTTACTTCAGAAATTGGTTGATGCGTCTGAAAAATCTTTAATGTGATACTACCCCAAATTTCTTAATTTACTAAGAGAGTCTATCATTGTTTTTTAATGATTGTCTTAATGTATTATTTATTTGCCGTTACTCAGCTTCTTCCCCATCTTCTCCAGCACACGCACACATATTGTACTAACATAATAACATCCTGGCATTGGCATCGCACCTGCGCCTTATTTTTTTGCGTCGCATTTTCCTTTCGCTTGGCACTTACTCTCTTTCGTCATCCTGTTTGCGGTGCGTGGTGGTCGTGTTCCTGTTCCTCTCGTGCTCTCTCCTCGGCCTTTGCTCCGACTTCGCTCACCCGGTTTTCTGCAAGCTCTCTCTTTTCAGCTCCTTCCCCTCCCCCTTCTCCATTTGTCACATCGCCCACGCTGTTTTCCCTCTGCTCTGCTTCTTCTTTATGCTCGTATGTTTGTGTGTGTATCGAACTCCAATTAGAGTTTGTCTCGCCTTCCTCGCCTCCCCCCGCACCCCCTGCATTTCCTCTTTGGACTTGATTTCCGTTTTGCGCCGTCATGCACTTTGAACTCTTTCCCTTTTTGCCCTGCCAACTGCCCCCTTCTTCTCCTTCGGCCCTCCTTGGCACATCCTTCATTGCTCCTTCCTTTTCGTCAGCGTCTTTGTAGCTCGAAAATAAAACAAGAAACACCAGGAGGACGAAACAAGGGGCGAAGAATTGTGGAGGGTGAGAAGAATTCAAAGGGGATGAGAAGAATTCCAGAAGAAGTGCGAGAGAAGAAGAATCGGAGTGAGGGTAAACAAGTTTAGGACCTTTTCTTGTCCTAGTCCAAGTAAATCGAGTTGAAGTTAATCGCAATCAGTAGGAAAAGAGCACGAAGAGTGTCTTCAGATTCAGAGCTTCTTGTTCTCTTTCAGATTCTTCCCATCCTTTATTTCTTCGCATCCATTCATTTCTTCCTGTGGAGTAGTTCTTAAAAAAAATTTTTTTCAAATGATAATACATTAAGCTGAAGTCTTCAAATATCAGTGATCTCTAAAATATCCTCTTCAAGGACAAACCAATTGCCCAGAACTGTTATTGAAATCTCGTGCAATTTAGATTAAAATTCGTAACACAATTTGTAAGTGGATTAACAATATAATATAAAAGTAATAACAAAAAAAATACATAAGGTGATCAGTACATTATCCTTGTCAATCAGCTAGGTTCTCCGTTCCAGTTTCGGAATTAAATAGAGGTTAAAGTGTTACATTGAAGCCACTATTTGAAAAGTAGAATTGAGAACCTGTCTTGTTTTGGTGGTTCAGCGATGACAAATGCAGTATTCTATCCTTAAATCATCCATTGGGGTTCTCCGCAGACGCATTCCCTGATCTTGCGATCAAGATTCTTGATGTCCTTCAACAAGTCCTGGCACAAATTGTCGTGGGATGGGCATCCCTTGCAAATTTCACCACCGGGTCCACATGGCTTGCAACCACAGCCAGGCTTAGTGGTGGGTTTTGGAGTGGTAGGCCTTGACGTGGTGGGTTTCTGGGTGGGTCTCTGAGTAGTAGGATTCTGGGTGGGTCTCTGAGTAGTAGGTTTCTGGGTGGGTCTCTGAGTAGTAGGTTTCTGTGTGGGTCTCTGAGTAGTAGGTTTCTGAGTGGGTCTGTGAGTAGTAGGTTTCTGGGTGGGTCTCTTAGTGGTTTTATCCGTGGTGGGTTTCTTCGTGGTGGGTCTTGCAGTTGTGGGCCTTGCAGTGGTGCGCCTAGTGGTAACGGGCTTTTTAGTGGTGACAGGCTTTTTAGTGGTGACAGGCTTTTTGGTGGTAACGGGCTTTTTAGTTGTAACAGGCTTGCGGGTTGTGGGTGCACCACCACCACCACAGGGCGGTGCAGTCGTGGCAGGCTTTTTAGTAGTGATAGGCTTTTTAGTGGTGACAGGCTTTTTAGTGGTGACAGGCTTTTTGGTGGTAACGGGCTTTTTAGTTGTAACAGGCTTGCGGGTTGTGGGTGTACCACCACCACCACAGGGTGGTACAGTCGTGGCAGGCTTTTTAGTGGTGACAGGCTTGCGGGTTGTGGGTGCACCACCACCACCACAGGGTGGTGCAGTAGTGGCAGGCTTTTTAGTAGTGATAGGCTTTTTAGTGGTGACAGGCTTTTTAGTGGTGACAGGCTTTTTGGTGGTAACGGGCTTTTTGGTGGTAACAGACTTGCGGGTTGTGGGAGCACCACCACCACCACAGGGTGGTGCAGTGGTGACAGGCTTTTTAGTGGTAACGGTCTTTTTAGTGGTGCGCCTAGTGGTGACAGGCTTTTTAGTGGTCGCAGGCTTTTTAGTGGTAACAGGATTTCGGGTTGTGGGTGCTCCACCACCACCACAGGGTGGTGCACTGGTGGCAGGCTTTTTAGTGGTAGGAGGCTTTTGGGTTGTGGGAGCACCACCACCACCACAGGGTGGTGCACTGGTGACAGGCTTTTTAGTGGTAGGAGGATTTTGGGTTGTGGGAGCACCACCACCACCACAGGGTGGTGCACTGGTGACAGGCTTTTTAGTAGTAGGAGGATTTTGGGTTGTGGGAGCACCACCACCACCACAGGGTGGTGCACTGGTGACAGGCTTTTTAGTGGTAGGAGGCTTTTGGGTTGTGGGAGCACCACCACCACCACAGGGTGGTGCACTGGTGACAGGCTTTTTAGTGGTAGGAGGCTTTTGGGTTGTGGGAGCACCACCACCACCACAGGGTGGTGCACTGGTGACAGGCTTTTTAGTGGTAGGAGGCTTTTGGGTTGTGGGAGCACCACCACCACCACAGGGTGGTGCACTGGTGACAGGCTTTTTAGTGGTAACGGTCTTTTTAGTGGTGCGCCTAGTGGGGACAGACTTTTTAGTGGTAACGGTTTTTTTAGTGGTGCGCCTAGTGGTGACAGGCTTTTTGGTGGTAACAGTCTTTTTAGTGGTCACAGGCTTTTTAGTGCCAACAGGCTTGCGGGTTGTGGGTGCTCCACCACCACCACAGGGTGGAGCAGGCCCACCACCACAGGGTGGAGCAGGCCCACCACCACCACCACAGGGTGGAGCCGGCACACCACCACAGGGCGGAGATATTATTATATCACAAGGCGTAGACGAACAGCCGATCAGCAACACGCTCGCTAAACGAAACACAAAAACAAAATCAGTCGAAACGAATACTAGTGCTGCGAAAGTGAAATACCAATCAGAAAGCCAATGGTGATCTTCATTTTGGTCCTGGTCTGTTCCCTCAGCTAGATAACTCTTCCCTCGATGGAGCCGAGCCCAGAACTGATAACTTATCAGGCGGTTCCAACCCATTTTATATAGTACCGTTCCTTCGGATCGCGACAAGTGTCCTGGTATAAATAAGTGCGCCTTGTTCAAAGAAAGACTGTTCCTAATAATAGACTAGGAGTTTGTATGAGCTCAGGTACGACTCGAAATATAGGTGATATTTGCTTTTAATGTTACACGTGCGCGGTTCGTGAACAGTAATTTCTATTTTTATCGCCTCCTGTTTAAAAAGACGTTCAAACTACACTGAACTTTTAATGTTGTAAAGCCGTTGGCTAAAAAAGTTCATTTGATGAAATATGTTGTATGCGTTATTATGTATTTTTCTAGGGTAGGATAGATTTGATTTTAGATCCATTAGATCCAGTTTGTATGAGTTGTTTACAAAACATTTTGGGGCTAAAAAGATTCAAAAATTAATTAAGCACGTATTACTCTAATGCGATTCTAAAAACGGTTTTTTTTTAAGTTCCTTCTACCGAGGCCTGCAAAATAAAACTAAATCGGAAATTGTAAATTCTGACCTAGAAATGCGAGCGCACAAAAGCCAAAACAAAGCGCAGATGATAAATAAGGAAGGGGGGAGGCGGAGAGGAGGATGACGGGGACGGGGGAGGAGGGAAAAGGGAGGCAGAGACCCAAAAAAGTACAATGAACCCTCGACAATTGCTGTCGTTGGTGTTGTTGTTGTTGCTGATGCGGCGGCAACATTGTTGCTGCCCCGCCCCTAAGCCTCCACCCATAACCTCCCCCCGCCCCCTGCCCTGCCCACTCGTTCACACAGCCTCTTCTTCTTCCAGAAGGGAAAAGAAGAAAATTATGAAAACAAACAATTTGCTGGGGCGATGTTGCTGCTGTGGCACGCTGCAACTTTTGCCCGGGGCCCAGGTTTTTTGGACAGCAAGAGCTGGCCATGCATATCAAAACAAGTTCCGTTCCACACAAATGCCAGCACGTTTCGAAATTGCCGACGTCGACGCATCATAACAATAACAAAAGCCCCAACCAGACACACCAGCAACATCGGCAGCAGCAGCAACATCATCAGCAGCAGCAGCATGAGCAAGCAAACAATTTGGAAGCCAACGCAGCTACAGTAGACACTCCAAAAATTAGAGAAACCATATGTGGGAAATAGGGTGGGGTAAAACTAGTCAAATAGTTACACAAAAAAAAAAAGATATGAAACGTAGATCGATTTTACCTTATTTAAGATAAATTTTAATTAAATATGCGTCCAGGTAAATTTGGCCAGGTCGAGAAGAATATTTCATGTAAAAACGATATAGGTTTTGCATAAACTGAAATTTACATGGCCATATCGATTTTACAAGAAGATGCTTTTTTTGGAATTACCATACGATACATACAAAAAAACTCCTTTCATAAAACTAACACTTAAAGACTTTTTGCATTTAAATATAAATAGTTTTACGCATAAAAGTTTCTTCCTTCTTGGCCAATGTTCACTGTACATGTGCATGAAACAGTGCATTACCAGTGGCAGCGACGTCGACTGCAGCAGAGGCTGTGCCTGAGGAGGCGGCAGAGGGGGCGAAAAGAGCAGAAAGGGATGGCGAGGGGCGGAAGAGGGGGAGGTAGGAAGCAGCGGAAAAGTTGCCGCGGACGAAACAATGACGCAGCAACAGCGGCAAAATGCGAATGAGAATCACAATGAGAATGCGAAGGAGAATGTGGAGCCCAGCAGAGCAAAGAAGACGAAGAAGAGAGCCTGTGCAGCATCTTAAGGTGATCCTTAAATTTTAAAAGTGTATTTCCAAAAATATATGAATGTTTAAACCCCAGTTGAGTAAAGCTTTTGATTTAACAAGAAATAATAAATAATATTAAGAATTTTTTCGGTGAAAAATAATAATTTTTAATGGAAAAAATTAAAGATTAGGAAAAAGAATTTCCAAGAAAGGAATATGCAAACTTTTTTTTTAAACAGTTGATAAAAAAAGCGTTTTCGGCGCACTCACTTTAAGTTTGTTCTTGGTCCGCCCTAAAGTTCTTGGATATCTTTGCTATGCACAGACATATCGACAATTACACAGCGCTGTTGTTATTATTGTTATTTTCTTCCTGTTTCGCTATGCACAAGCGCAGGAAAAGCAACAGCAACAAACGGACAAACAGAAAAACAGGCACAACAACACCTACATTCAGACAACCAGCAAACAGGCGTGCTGGTCGACAGTTGCAGTCAATAAATTAGTGGCCCTTAATATTTGCACAAATAAGGAACCTTTTAATAAAAATGTATTTTCCTTGAGAATAGCATTTTATACATGAATATCTAAATTAAATTCACCGAACGTTCAGACGAATAGCAACATTAATTCAGTGTATTTAATTTATTTTTCTTTATGTTTCTAACTTGGTTGTTTTCGAATAATAGATTGAAATTTATTTAATTGCTATTATCCTGACCTGTGCTGTATTTGCAACGCGTCACGTGCGCTCTCATCTCGCCGCTCTCTTCGCCTTTTCTCTCGCAGTCATTTCGCTCCCTCGCTCTCTTGGCTGCACTCGTGTGTGCGTTTTGCCACTGCTTTTGGTGTTGCCTTGCGAATGCTGCGACGGCGACGCCGGCAGCGACTGCAGCAGCGGCAGCGCAGTCGGGCTGGCAAAGTTAAAGTTAAAATGAGCGGCCGCATTTAGTTTGCTTCTGTCATTGCATTCGGCGGGTAGGATCAAGAAAAAGAAACAAGAAACACCAAAACCAAAAACACAAGAACCGAAACCGAAACAGACAACACACAAAAATTAACAACAAATCGAAAAAAACAGCCTTTATTTTTTTCACGTTTAAGTGCAACCACACAAAGAATAAGAAGCCAAACCAGAAGTAGAAGAAGAAGGAGCAGCAGAGTGCTTAATAATTCTAACGGTAAATAGTGAGCGAAATTTCTAGGTGTAAAGTGCAAAACGAAAAGTTTTCTGCAAGTGTGCGTGTTGTTTTTGTATTGGCTTTGCATCTGTATTTCATGGTGAACTGTTTTTTGCTTTGCCAATTTTTGCCTTTGCGCTTATATTTTTTGGCTTTGCATTCATTTGTTTTTGTTCTTCTGCTCATATTATTTGCTTCGCATTTATATTTGGTATTTTGCATATACAAATCCATAGCGAATAATTTGTATCTTTTGGGTGTTTTTTGCATATCTTATTTACGTTGCATAAATTTCTCCAACTGTCTTTGTTTCTGGCTTTTCATTAATTTCTTCCACAGTTTGTTGTTAATTTGTTCGGTTTCAATTTGCATTCATTTCATTTTGTTTGTTTTGATTTGCCCTCATTTACTTTGCGTTCAATTTGATTTTTCGCCTTTCGAGTGTGTATTTGTTTGTGCTAACTCCGCGTCCCTTAATTTAGTTTGAAGGAACTTAGTTGAAAAATACCTAATGTATTAATCCATCAAATCACTCAATTTTTTTTTGTGTAGTGGACATATTTTGCAAATAAGTTTTATTTTCTTTTGTTTAGATGTTGTTTTTTTCCTCGGAAGACCCGTTCTTCAGCTTTTTTGCTGTTGTTTTGCTTTGGCTTTGTTTTTAGCATGTGCCCTTTTTCGTGAGAGAGCGAGAGAGAGAGGGTGGGGTTTTCTTTTTTGCCTTTGTTTTTTCTTTTTCTCCACGCCATCTGCCATGCACACAAAAACAACAAAAACAAGAACAATTTTACAGTGGAGCGCGTGCTTTTTTCTGCCGTCTCGCTGGCCACGCCATTCGCCCACTCACACTAGCGCAGGCCATAATTGCCCGCTCTTAAAAAGCCCTCTTTTTGTGGGGGCGCTCTCTTAGGTCGTCTCGTTTTCGCGCTCTCCCTGTCTCCGTTTGCTGCCTTGGCATTTCGTCCGTTCGCTTTTGCCGTCTTCTCATTTCTCGTTGTTTAGCCGTAGCGTGCGCGTCGCAGTCGCAGTCGCCGTCGCCGCAGACGTCACACTCTAAAAGTTGCGTCAGTTCAAAAAAGTTTTTTTTAACAATTATTAGAAAAAAGGAAAAATAAATACCACATATTTTTTTCAAGTTTTCAACCAAGTTTGATCAAAGCGCATGGCAAAAGTTTATAAAGTAGGTGGAAACACAAGAGAAAAATAAAATAATTGTATTGGTATTAGTGTTAACTTGTCTGCTCTTTAATCCTACGTTTTGTGTGCGTGTGTTAATTTTATTTTTAATCATCAGAAAACATAATTTTCTCCATAACAGTTTGGTCTTTCACTTGAGATAACAGTGATGCATTGCCAAACAAAACAAAAAAACACTCAAAAATATAGTTTTCAAAAAAGGGAAACCAATTCCAATTAAAAACAGCTGAATTTAATATTATAGATCGTGAAAAATTAAAGAAAAATAATTCGCTAAAGATTTTCCTCTTTCATTTTTGGCTATTTTTAAACGGACGAAACGGAATTTTTTTCTTGATTTTTTTTTGCACGCTTCATCACTCTTCATTTCAAAATTAGCAACAAAAACACATGACGAAAGCCGCCAGAAAAAAAAGGAAATGCAAAGAAAGTGCGTAAAATGGTGGAGAGAGCGATAAAGAGAAAGAGAGGAAATGACAAAGAGAGCTTTGAAATACACGGGGGAATAAGAACAAGAACTTTTTTGTTGTTAAGTTGTTTTGTTGTTGTTGTATGTTTCTGCCTTCTTTTTAATCTTTACTTTCTTTTTGGCTGCTGTCCGCAGAGAGCTTTTATTTTAATTTATTTTCCACTTGTTTTTTTTACTGTTTGACTCAAGCGCATTTGCTTAATCTTTACTTTGAGTGGATATTTTTCTCAATTTTTAAGTAGGCAAAAATTCTTAAGGTTAATCAGCTAACCGAACCCAAAATGGCCCGAAAAGGATTAAATTTCCCCGAGACCCTTTTCTCAGATTACAAATCTCTCTTTCTTCGGTCAAATCAACCGCAAATGTTCCTTTAATTTGTTCGCTTACTTTTTCCCTTTCAATTTTTGCATTTTGACTTTTGAGTTTCGGTTGAGTGTTTTATGTGATTATTGGATGGGGGAATCTCAATCACCTCTCGTGTGTGCAACAACCCCTCTTTCGAGTCCTTTTCCGGTTTTTGCCCAATAAAGGTTTCCCTTTGATTTCCTCATATTCCCTTTCGATTTTTACACGCACAGGAGAACCTCATTAATAACGAACTTTCTGGTATAAAAACATTGCATTTTTCGATAAACATTTTCTGACTTCTCTTATAAACACATTTTAGTAACTAAGACCTATGATTTTTGAACCACATATAATATATAATTATTGACAGACTTTTTATTTAAGACATACGAAACCGTTCTATAAGTCTTACTTTCTGTAACCGATTTTCTGTATCCTGTATATAGTAAATTCGCGTTAGGTAAGTCCTACTGTCTTTGATTTCTTTCACACGCTGGCCAAGAAAGCTGACGAAGAAAGCCTGACAATGGGCCATATGTATACCCTATAGGGTATTTTGGGAAATATGATGACGACCCTTGGCCCTCGAAGTGCGAACCTTGGGGTGGAATTTCCCTCCCCCCGGCCCACTCTCTTTGGCTTCTCTTCATTCCCTTTTCCTTGGGGTCGGTTTCTGTTTTGCGTTTTCAGGTACAAAATACCTATATTTGTATTAATGTATATATTAGAGCCCTGCACGAGTAGAGTTTAAAACAGCTCTGAGCTTGAGCTTGAGTTGTTTGTTTGTGACTTAGGAATCATAGGTCATGGGATCACAGAATCATCGAGTAAGAGCTCCTCCCATGAGCCTATGATTCCAAGAGCCCTTTCAAACAGTTTGGCTCGAGTAGCTCATGTCAAAAAACAAACCGAACAAACAGCTCACGTTATTCGAACAGAAATAGCTCCAAGGGCTTAATGTCATTTCCATTTTATTTACAAAAAGAGAAAACGATTATAAGAGAATCATGGCCAGTACTTTTTTTTAGCAAACTCTTAAGAAATCGCGGTCCATAGAGGGTAATTTTTTTTTAGCGATTCTTGGGGGGAGAAACGTTTTATTATTCACTAGAAGAAGCAGCAAAATAATTATCCTCGGTGGACCGCGATTTCTTAAGAATCAACAAAAAGAAGAGACGGTTACAAGAAAACTATGGTCAACTAGCAATTTTTTTTTGGCAAACTGTTAAAATAAAATTGCGGTCCATCGAGGGTAGCTATTTATTTTTAGCGATTCTTGGGCGGAGAAACGTTTCATTATTTTTTAATTTTTAACAAAGATAATTGTTGAAGAGGACAACATATTAAATCGAGTTGATCTTAAGATATTGCCGTTGCATAAAAAGCCACAAAAATCCTTCATCCAAATTAAAGCAAAATAAAAAATAAAAGGTTTTTTCAGCTCCGGTCGAAAAACTGAGCTACTCGAGCCCATGATTCCATGAGCTTATGATTCCATGAGCCCTTTGTTTTCGAACGAGTCGAGTAGCTCATTGTAAAAATTTAGGAGCTGAGCTATTCGATTTGAAAATTTTTGTGAGCTGATTTACTCGAGCTGTTTTTTGAAATGGGAGAAAAAGGGCTCTACGAGTATACTTGTGCAGGGCTCTAGTATATATGTAAAAGTTTTCTGTGTTTTTTTTTGTAGTTGCGTTCTCGGGATCCAAAAAAAAAAAATCCAGATGCAGTGTGAGGTTGCGTGGGTGTCTCAGTCAATTACTGCGATTTTTTCTTTCTCATTTTTCGTGCCATTCAAAGCGATTTCGATTTGAATATTTAATAGAATTTGCCACGCGCCGCAGGCTTTCTCACCCATTTCCCATCCTCGACTCTCTTCATCGCCATTGTTTTTGCTCTTACCTAAGTTGACAATGAACATGTCACCCCGTAAAAGAAAACAAATGACGATGGAAAATAAAGAACGGAGCTTTTAGTACCCACCATTCGCGTCAGAAGGTTTTAGGATTGTTAAATCAGTATCTTCAGACCACAAAATATGAAATCTTAGTTGTTATTCCCGTTACTCGTTTATTCTGAATACAACCATATCTATTTGGATCGTGATATTTCAAGGCGTCCTTCATTGGGGTTTATTTAACAGACATATTTAGGTTCAAGATTTATTGAAAGTAACACCTCTTTTAGCCTAAAAATATATTATATCCTTTGGAACGCTCCTATTTTAATATATTGAAAAACAATTATAGATTGGAATCCGTGTTGTTTTTTGGCTGGACGCATTTTGAAACCCCTGAAACGGATAAACCACTCTGTAAAGCTAGGATACTGCGGTAAAGTGAGGGTGTAGCGAGATAATGAGGGGTGTAAATGGGAGTTGGCAGGGGGGGGTTTGAGTTTGTGAGATGGGGTGGCCATTTAAAGCGTGTTTAATGCCAAAGCAGAGTCATTCAAAGGACTTTTGGTCATATCGCAAAGCTCTCTCCAATTATTTTCTCCCTATTTATTTAATGTCCCTCTCCGCAGGGGCAGAGTAATAATGGAGCGCAAGAGAGAAAGAGCGAGAGAGCAGCTGCACAGGCTAAAATGCAATAAAGCCGGCTGCAATTCTCCATATTGCCCTCTCTTTCTCGCGTGCGACCCTTGACCTTTTATATGAATTATGACAACAGCAACAACAAATACAATGCAACATTATTATTTTCTCTTAATGCTTTTCACCGCTCAGTTGAATGCCCCACACACACATGCACACACACAAGGAAAACCAGCAGCTGACGGAAGATGAAAAAGGGAAAAGGAGAAAGAAGGGGATTTGATGGGGAAATGGAAAAGCAGAAGGAGGGGGAGAAGCCTGCGCGCACGCGCCAATCTATCTTTTTTTCCCCCTCCTTCATTATTTCCTCTCGTGTTTTGCAGTGAACTCTGCAATGTTGAACCATTATTTAGATTTTTAAAATTTGTTTACCCCTTCTTCTACGAAAATCTAAAATCTTCTGATTATTAAATATTTGTAGTAATTACACACATTTAAATTTGATTTGTAAATGCTAAAAAATAAGAAAAAAATATTTGTTAGGCTTTTTCTAATATTAGTAATATGCTTAATTGACTTTAAAATGATGTGATAAATGTAAAAACATACCTAACATGCAACCTGATTTTTTTTTTTGCATTACTATGTATAATATGGGCTCCATTATATCGAGGGCACACCGTATGTTCTGTTTATGCCCCTCAATTTCCGTCCCTTTCGTTTGACTGCAACTTGTTGGTTGGGGCTCTCTTCCTCTCTCATTTTATTTGTTTTTTTCCTGTCTTTTGTTTTTGTTTTTTGTGTCCGTGTTGATGCCACGCAGCTGTGCACAATTAGCGCAAACACAACAGCTGCTGACGTCGACGCTGGCTGCGCTGCTCAGCTGGCAGCACAAACGAAATAGTAAAAAGACAAATAAAATATGTAGTTTAAGAGTCGACCAATTTGAATTTATTACCAATTATAGATGACAACTAACCCTATTTTTTGCCCGACATTGTGACCTTTTTATGAGCGGCATTGCGAGCACAATATTGTTAGCAACTGGTTTTCGAAAAACGTTCTCATTTCCCTCCCATTTAAATTTATATAAAAGTTCATAAAATTCTAGTGGTGTAGAGTTTTTAAAACTCATATTTTAATCTTTCTTAAGATATAAAAAATTATGAAAAATTATTTAAATAACATTTTTTTAACAATTATAACTAACAAAAATTAATTTTTTTTCCCATTTCAGCCCAATCTACTAAAAACAAACACCAAAATCAAAACTGCAACCATATATAAACAACAACAGCAAGCAAGAACCACCGAAAAATCAACAACATCAAAAGTGGCAGAAAACTCACCAAGTTCAACAATAATATTCAACAACCAGCTAAATTGTAAAACAAGAAACCACCATCAGCAACCAATAATTTCAACAACCAATCGTCAATAAAAGCCACACACACCAACAATTTTCAACAACAATATTTTCAACAATTTTCAAGTACTTTTAACAACAATTTCCAAGAATATTTTTTGAAAAAACAAAAGTAGAAAAGTTTTAAACAACAATAGTATCCAAAAGAAGTTAAACAACAATTTCCACAATAACTGTAAACGTGTCGCGACTTAAAGCTGCTGCCTCTTCTGTCCCTCTCTCTCGCGTGTATTCGTCCTGTTCAGTGTTGGTGTACGAGAATCGTGTTTTGTTTTTTTTGTCAAACTTATATATCCATTTCTTGTATTACGCGTTCGTCGTCCTTGTTACGTGTGTGTGTGTGCGAGAAGAGGGAGTGCGCTAGTTTGTGTATGCTATGTCAAATATCGGGGGCATTAATACGCTCCTCCGGGCGGCTGAATTTATCGAGAAGCTGAATGAGGTCCCGCAGGCGGGAAGCGGTGGCGCCGGCGCACTTGGAGTCGGCGTGGGCGTGGCACTGCCCCAACAGCAGTCGCTGCTGGGCAAGAGCATCTCCATTATCAACAACAACAATAGCAGCCAGCACAATAGAAATAGCAGCAGTAGCAGTAACGGGATTATTGCAACGCCACCGTTCACGAACGGAAATTGCAACGGTTTCGTCGGCATCGGTAACGTGAACGTAAACGTTAACGTCAATGCGAACGGGAACGGTCTGAGCAACGGTCACAGCAGTCCGCGCAGTCAATTAGCCGCCGCTGCCCACGATTATGAGCTTGCCGCCGTCGTTGGCAGCGCAGTCGCCAACGGACACAGCGAAGGTCGCCCCCTCATCTCGGGTAAGTCTCTCCACTTTAACCTTACCCCCCTATTCACCCATCCCAATGCAAGTCGGAACTTTCCAATCACAATTGAAACAACTTTTTGGCGCCCCCGGGTGGACTTTTGATTTTATTTTTAAAAAACTGATTTCCTGTTACCAGTTTATATTTAGTTTATAATTAACTAAGTACTTGTGATACATTTTTATTGGAAATCTCCGACTTACAACCCAAATTCATCACTCATCATCAAATCATCGCGAGTTCTGAGTGACAAGGGCAAGGTGCTGCTACTTTACTGCCCGCTGCTGTGTGAACGTCGTCTAACACTGTTTCTAGTGCAACAACATCAGCTGCTCTGCTCCCGCTGTTAACTGTTTGTTGGGCTCTCCCGTCAGGCGACAAAAGTTTTTAAATAAAGACCAATATCATTAACGAAAATAATTATTTAAATTTGCGAATATGAAATTGTGAAACTTGTGCAGCTTGTTACTTAATTTTACCGCTTTCCTAACTCGAATGTCTGGGAAAATTATTTTTGGCATATTTATATGTCTTTGTCGCCTGTGATGGTGATAAAAATTCTACAGATAACGTCGCACCGTTCTGAACTTGATTGATTATTATTGGAAGGTGTAGCCAAATGGGTGATTGTGGACGATAGCTTTTATTAATCAATTAGGATACATAGATAAATATTCATACATATATACGAAAAGTTTAGGGGGATAAGTAAATAATATATGAGTGGATATTTGTAACAATTCGATGCTACATTGCTCATATTTTGACACTTTTGTCGCCTTTCCAAAAACGAAACTGCTACTCTTTTTTCCCCCATTTGCTTTTGCTGCATTTAAACTTGTTTTGACCTTGTTTGCGACGTCGACGTCGACTGCATTTTGCGTGGGCGCGCACTGTACCAAAAAAATAAAAAAAGATTAAATAAAATAAATCCCCAAAGTGCAACAACAACACAGCTCTTTCTCTCTTCCGCTCTCCCACTTCGCCCGCTCCCCCACTCATACGCTCTCTTTTTGGCACAGGTTGCAAGCGTGGCAAGCAGCAGGTACTGTTATATTTTTAGCGCGCTGCTGGCTGCGACGTCGACGTCGGCGTCGCAGCTTGCGTCTCTGCCCAATTGGCATGTGCTAAATTGTCATGCTGCGTTTTTGTTTTTGCCTCTCTGAGTTTTACCTGTGTTTTTGTTGCCTTGACTATCGGATACAAAGATTTGCAACGTCGAATATACAGTAAAAATAATTAAAGTCCAACATTTTTTTTTTCAAATTATTTTAAAAAATATGCAAAAGTAAAACCAGTAAAATATAGAATTGTGGATTTTAAAAATGCATACGTTTTTGTATAAATAAGAAAATTTTTACTTAATTAGGATAGGTGGTGTAGATAAGTGTATCTACATATATTTTAAACAATTTGTAGTCTGAAGAGCTCCACTGTGTTTTGTATTTTGTTTTCGTTTGCCTTTTGCTGTGCTCAATTCGGTTTTTGGTTTTTCGCTTTTTTGTCAACATGTGTGGATTTTGTTGTTGTTCGTTCATCTCGGCTGCTTTTTTTTCTTTGTCTTTTTTTCGCTTTTGTCATGCGCTTCATTCGTATTTTTTCGCACGTACGCTTGTACTTGTTGCTGTTGTTGTTGTTTGGGGTCACGTCATGTGCTGGCTCTCTCTCTTCGCGCGCTCTTCCTCGCACGGTTTAGTCATAGCACAATAATAAAAAAAATTACTTCCACGTGAGCGGCTCTCTTTTGCTCTTACACATTGCTCTCTTTAATCTCTCGCATTTCTGTTTGCGCTCTCTTTCGGCTGCTGGTGTAAAACAAAGTCAATGAACTTTGTACGCATTTTTTGTTATTGTTGTTTTTGTTGTCGGCCTGCCTTTTTTTCCGTGCCCATTTCTTATTATTATTTGCCCTTTCTTTTAGGCTTTTATGTTTTATGTTTGTTTTCTTCACACTTACAAATTTTATTTGGCTGTTGTTATTTTTTATGCTTTTTTATTTCGGCGTTGCATGTGTAATATTTGGACAGCTGTCTCTGTCTCTTCTCTTGTTTTGACTCTCTCCTCCTTTCTCCTTTCTCTGTTCCTGTTTTTGTTTTTCTCTCTTCCTGGTTTTTTTTAACTTTATTTTCTTTGTTTCCTAATTTTTTTGTATTTGTATATTATCAGAAATTGTTTTTTGAGGAATTCTATTTATATGCAGAGAAAGTTCCCCGAAAATCCAGGGCCCTCGAGGCTTTTCCTAATAATTGGCTCAAATGTGGGTGAATAAGTGCAGTTGGTAATTTTCCGGGTAATTCAGAAGTTTGCGAATAAATTAAGCAGTTTGCTAGATGTTATTAAATAAAATTTTAACAAATTTTATTCTAGTTTAAATTCTAAAATGAATTTGTATTAATCCTGGAGATAAAAGAAAAATTTTGATAAATAATTTTAAAAATATGAACCAATTTTTTATATTCCCGAAAAGGGGGCAACAAAAATGATGACTTTTGAAATGATAAAAGAAAACATTTAATACAAAACTGTTTTTTTTATAACCCCCCTTTCCTTGACGTTTCACGGTAATATGCAAAACGATGTTGTCTGTTCTCCATCCGATTTGCATTATCTTTCGTAAATGTAAATTTCCGGCGATGCTTTGATTTCGATTCTTCTTCTTCGACAGTTTTTCCCACTCAGTTGCGGTTGATTCGCGAACGGGAAAACTGCATTTTCCTCGAAGATTTTTTTTCTATCCAAACGACACAAGATGTCGTCGCAGCAAGTCGATAAATTAAATTTTACCGCACCGAAACGGCAGCAAAATCAACTTATTGCCGACTTGCTGGAACATTTGAGTGCTTTTCAAAGTTTACTGCAGTTACGACAGCATCGGCAGCAACCTCAAGCACAACAGCAACATATTGTTGCACGGCAGCAACATCAAACACACGGCCAGTTCAGCCAAACCACCTTATCGCCCAAAAAGAGATGGATATATCGGCATTATGGCAATGGTACAGAAAAGAAATGCTTCTTAATTAAAAAAAAAATATTTCAAACAAAATACAAAAAATCATTGGATTAAAATCATAGCGTTACTCAATATAAAATTTAAAAATGTATTCAAAATTAATTTACAAAATACTGAATACATTTTTGTATTAGTTTAAATGCGGTAAAATTGTTTTCTGTGCATCAAAGCAAAGTGTTCGTGTGTGATAGCGTGGGTTAATAAGTGTGCAACCGATGTTGTTGCAGCCACGTGCGCTTTCGTCACGTGGCATCGTGATGTGGGTGTTAAATAATATGGAAAAATAGGGGCAAGGAGGGGGGAACACATGTGCATGAGCAGAGAACACAGGGCGAGGGACAGGGAGAGGAAGTGTGAGAAAAAGAGGGCGTTGATAATCCCCCTGGAATTTGAATCTTTTTGTAAAGTATGCCCTGCCCTGCCTAAAAGGGTGTGAAAAATCCAGAGCTTTACTCTTTATTCGTTTTTTCACTTTACAAAGCTAGAAGCTTTAAAGAAACATTTTTAATTACTTTATGGAAAAAAAGAAAACATATCGCACCCATTGAGCTAGAAATGAAATATATTTCATTACACATGTCATTTTAAATATTAAGTACACGAAAAATATTTTATGTTTTCTGTAAACAATCAAAAATAAAAGAAAACCGTCTAAAAGTTCGAGCTACTTTTACCGTGTAATGTAATTCCATGTTGTTCTAGTTATTCTATTCGTTTGCATAAAGAATTTCTTTATGCAATTGTGTTTCTTGTTTCGATAAGTCTCTTCGTGTGTCATTTGAGATTCTGTTTGAAAACTGATTTCACTATGTGCATTTTATGACCCCATTTGAAATGATAAAACCAGTGCAATACAATAGCTGATATTGAATTACAAGGCTCTATTTCATATTCCGTTTTTAATCGGTTAAGAAATGGGTATTGCGTTTCTTAAAAGCTTAGATTCAGATAGTTCCATTATGGGTAGGTTAAAACTTAAGATTTGAAATGATAATTAGAAATTGTCTTAATTTTTTGAACCTATAACAAATTGTTAAATCCTCAGAAAAATAGAAAATTTAAATAGGGAAGATTTAACAGTTTTCCTAAGTTGATTTCCTATTTAACAGTTTGCATAGACATTTTTATGATTATAGAATTATTATAGGGTTGTCTTTCAAGGGTTGTGACTCGATATTATCCCCATAATTTCAATTTGAGCTACACATTCGATCTGTCTTTGTGGTTTTTTTGGTCTGTCAACATGCGACACGTGTCTCGGCTTACTTCAGCCAAACCACCCAACCGCCCACTAACGATCCACCAACCACCCGTGGAAAACCACCCAGCCACCCACCGCATTTACCTAAGAAAACAGCGCAACAACAATCGTTAATAATGCATAATAAATGCGATTGTTGGTTGGCCACCGTTGTTTTTCCTTTTTTTTCGGACGCAATTCGATGGAAATTCGCATAGGGTTTTCCACGAATGCGTAACTAATTCATCGCTTACACACACACACCCGCACTTAATCATATATAATTAACCCACCAAAGGACCTTCATCGCCCACTGATTGTTGACTCTGTTGGCTCTGTGTTGTTGTCTGTTGTATTTAACCCGAATTAATTTGCATTCATTAAACGCTGCCTTTGTCTTTTTTCCGCCGCTTTGTGCTCTGATTTTCAACCCAAGTCTTTCTTTAGTTTAATACATGTTTTTGTTCTAGTATTTTTCTGCATTCAAATAAATTAAATCATTTGTGGAAATGCATTGTTCTAAGTTGGTTTTGTTGTTTAACAAATTGGAAAGATTTTTTGAAAGAAGAAAAAAATGTATAAAGTAATGGTAGTCAGTTTTTTAATTTGAATATTTATTTTTTTAATTTACTTCACTTATGTATACTTAGTTGTTGCCTTTTATATCAAGATGTAAATAAAATTTAGTTAAGTATTTTAATTTTTAAATTATTTTTTTAGTAGTTGAATTCTTAGTTTACTTGTTTTTTTTTGTATTTATTTTATTTTTGATTGTTAATTTAATCATTTATTTTAATTTGAATATTTATCTAACACTTCTTTAAGATCTTAACAATCCATAAATAAGTATTTGAATTTTTCTAATATATTTTTGTTAGTTTTTTAGTATTGTAATAGTAGTTGATTTCTTAGTTTAATTGTTTTTATTTTATTTTTGATTGTTAACTTAACTGATTTTTTGATTGGCCGATTTTTTTTAGGGAAATGCTTACAAATTTTTGTTTTGGACTTTTCTAGTGTAATTTATCGTATTTCTAGATTACGAACTATGAATTATTATTAAAGAAAATCTCTTGTATCTCGCACATTCATCTCATTTAGTTTTTAATTCTATCATTTCCTATACACCCGCTGCCCTATTTTTTCTTAGTTATGATTTGTCTTCTTATTTTGGTTTTTTCTCCTATTTCTTCTTTACTTTTCGGCCACTTTTAGAGGATGATAATTCCTCAGTCAACAGCAAGAACAAGAACAAGAACAACACCCACTCCCCACAGCAGCAACAACAACAGCAACAACAGCATGATGCGGCAAGAATAGGAGCAGCATTGGCAATAGCAATAGCTGCCGAAACAGCGGCGGCACAGAGGCTAACAGCCACCAACACCACCGCCACCTCCTCCCCCACAACCACCCCCGCAATTAGCACCCCCTCGCCCGCCTCCTCTGCCGTCATGGTGCTGGCAGCAGCAGCAGCAGCCACTACGGCAACACCTGCAACACCTGCAACAGCAGCAACACCTGCAACATCCAATCCTGCCAAGCACAAATTGGGCCCCTTCGCCTCGATACCGCCCAAATTTCTATTGGTTTCGGATGGCAAGGAGGTCTATCCAAAGGCCTCGGCCTCCAGTGCCTCCAATGCCTCCGATTCGCTGGATTCGTTTCGCTACAATCCCAATTCCGGGGAGAGGATCAGAAAGATAATGCAGAATATGCAGAACATGCAGCATATCGAGCAGCAATTCCATAGTCTGCGACCGGCGGTCATTCCCCTAACACCACCGCCCACATCCACCCGAAAAGTGGACACCAGCATCTCGCGGATTCGCTCCTACTCACTGTCCAATGCCTTTTCAGCACCCCGAGATCAGTCGGCGGATCATCCGCAGCAGCATCTGCAATTCCAACACAATCTCAGCTATGTGAGAAGCGCCAACGGTGGTGTTGTCTATGGCCTGCCAGCGGATTCGGTTGACTCCTCTGCAGCCGCCGGATCGGTGGCCATGAACATTGCCTCCTCGGCGCCAGCGGCAGGATCTCAGCTGACGGCGCACCATCACACGGGACACGGCGGACGCAGGCGCACCACCAGTTCCAACAGCAATGGGTAAGTTGAACAGCAGATTCAGGGGGTTGCTCTAATGCACTTATAAGAAACATCAAACGATGAATCAGCTTATTTATTCATGATTTTTAGAGTTAAATGCACCAAGAGTTCATGCAAATGAACTAAAGATGTTTAACAATAACCTAAATATTAGGAATAATGACCTAAATATTAGGAATAAAGACCTAAAAATAAAAATAACGATATATAAATAGTGGCTACTTACACCCTTGCAGAGAGTATTATAAATTTGCTCAGAAGTTTATAATTTTACTTAATTTTAGAAGATTTTTCCTAATAAATCCTTTGGTATAGGTCATTTCTTAAATCTTGTAATTTTTTGTATTTTGGTTTTCTAAATGTACTAACTAGTGGGTAAAAAGCAAGTTAAAGTCACGACTTAAGTTAAAGAACTGTAAAAACAAAGCTCTATATAAAACCTTGCCATGTTTAAAAAAATCTCTAACCTAAGACTACGACCAAATGTTAATTTTTATAGGGAACCCAATTAATATTCAGTTGATCTAATATCCAAAATAAATGTCTGTTTTCAGAGCGGGCACTCGGGAAGTGCACAACAAGCTGGAAAAGGAGCGACGCGCCCAGCTGAAGGAGTGCTACGACCTGCTCAAAAAGGAGCTGCCCATGCGGGACGAGGACCGAAAGAAGACCTCCAATTTGACAATACTCGATACGGCCCACAAATTTGTCAAGGTAAGAAATTGGAAACTTTGAAAAAATTGAAAAAAGTTTAATTTGATGAGGAAATAAATTCTCTATAACGTAGAAATTGTAACCACTATTTAACAATTTACCGATTGGAAAGGTTATTTGTTAAATAGGAAATTGAAATATTACTACTAGGATAGGATAGAAATAGTATTTTCGATTAAATTAAAGTTAACGTGTAAATTAATTAATTGACTTAATTTTTTGTGTTCCAGCAATTGACGCAGCGTGATCGCGAGCAGGAGGCGGAGGTGGAGAGGCTGGCGAAGCAGAAGATTGAGCTGCAGAAGCGGCTGAAGCGATTGGGTTTGAGGAGGGAAACGCCGCCCACCGATCAGCAAAGCATTCCACAGGCCATCAAAGGTTCGTTGTAGATCTCTTGCACAGATCTAAATCTAGATCAAGTTTTGCATTCGCTTGAGGGTCGGACGACCGACGACCTTCGACGTTATGCAATTCCAATATCAATTCCAATTCGATTCTCGCCACATGCATACGCTAATCTCGCGCTTTCTCTCTCTTTTTCCAGCCATTTGCGTGGCAACAACCACCGCACCAGTACCACCAACGGCGGCCAGTGGTCGCAATGGAACCACAATTCTATTCGACGCAGGCAACGCCTGTGCCACTGGGGTGAGTACAACAAGTCTTTATAACATTGGAGGATCGTAAACTGAGATTTTGATGATTATACGACCTTAAAATATTTCTGACGAAATTAAAGTGTAAATGCAATTTTGTTGTGTATTTATTACCTATTAAAATGTAAAAAAGAGTTTCCAAATCGGACCATTCGTTTTAAAGTTATTAGCAAATAAGAATTAGAATTCAAGCAGTGCAAGCAGTCGCTTCGCTGCATGCATCTCCATCTCCCTCGCACTCTGATGACTCTTCAATCTCTGAAGACAAATTAGATTTTAATTAATAAATAATGTTGGGTTTCATTATCAGAATAATTACTACATAGTTTAAACAATGTAAAATACTAAAAATATTATTCAAAATTGTATATATTTCTAAAAGAAAACTTATTTAATTGATTGTTTAATTCATAAATAATGTTGGGTTCCATTATCAGAATAATCACAACATAGATTAAACAAAGTAAAATACTAAGAATATGATTCGAAATATATAATTCTAAACGAAAACTTATTTAATTGAATGTCATAATCACCATTCAGTTTGCAAGCCCCAAGGGAAAAGCACCGCAAACCACACGCCATATATATGTATACCTAATAATTCTGTTATTCTTCGCCCCAACAGCAGCTAACAACTGTGATAAACAAATCAAATGCCACACCAGCATCAGGAGCAGGAGCAACCGCAGCAGCCAACGGCAGCATTAGCAGCAAACACAATGGCAACCACACAGGAGGAGCAGCAACCACACTGACTCCGGCCATGGGTATCATGACAATTAAGAACGGCAATGGCAACGGCAACGGCAACATACTGGCAATCTCACCAACGGCAATCCAGCAGCAGCACCATCACAACGGCAGCCCAGCGGGCAGTCCATCGGCAATTGGAGGAGCAACTAGTGGAGCCACCATTACACGTGGCTCGCCCACGCCATCGACTCCATCGCCGTCGCCCAGCTCCTCGTCCAGTGGCGTCTCGTCGTCGGCCTCGTTTATGGGCGGCGGCTCCTCCTCGTCGTCCTCCTCCTCATCATCCTCCTCGTCGTCGTCCTCCTCGTCGTCGTCATCCAGTACGTCGTCCAGTTCGTCGTCGCCCACGCAACAGCAGCTGATCGCCACGCCCACGGCCACCGCCCATTTGGTGGGCGCCCGCAATGTTGGCCTGAAATTCCACGGCGGTGCGGGTGGTGCGGCCAGCGCCTTGAATGGCGGTGCCACCATTGTGGCCGCTGCAGTGCCAACTGGCGGCGGATCAGCGAATGGTGAGCATGGAGTCCACTTACCCTCGACCCTCGAAAATCCACTGAATACGCAATTATTTTCTATTTAAATTAAAAGATGTATATTTATTTTGAATTTATGTAGAGAAATTCCCATTTTCCTATAAGAATCATATATCTTTCTTGAATTTTCAAAAGACAATTTCATTTAATAGATTTTACTTTTAAATGTGCGGCGGCACATTCCTTCATTTTACTGAAGGGAATTTCTAGTGCGTAATTCAGAATTATTGCCTATTTGAAATTTAAGAAATAATTTATTTTGAATTTATTGAGAGAAATTTGCACTTTTTCCTAAGAGTCTTGCACCTATGAAGGAATAATTACGATTGAGAGTTTTCAAAACACAATTTCTTTTAATGGATTTACCTTTTAATGTACATAAGTACTTATATAATTTAAATTTACAAATAAACCAAAATTTTATTAATATTCATCTTTCATTTTTAAACAGGTTTCCATCAGGCGGACAAGGACCGCAATTACAATTTCCTGATGCTCAGTGCTGGGACAACGGCGCAGTAAACCAACAAACAAGAAACAACAACAACAACATCAAACGAACACCTACAACAATAATGAAAACAACAACAACAACTGAATTGTGTGCAACAGCTCCCACCTTATAAAAGAAAAAATGTAACAACAACTAGAAGAAGGTTCTCTGAAAACTCTTTTTTCTTACAACAAGATACAAACAAATATTATGTATTTTTCACACTTTCGCACACATTGAAAACAACAACAACAGCAGCAGCAGCAGCAGCAGCAGCAAAAAGAAAATAACAAAGCTGTAATTTTTTATGTAAAACAAAAAAAGAAAACAAAAGCTATCAAACAGTTCCGCCCAACACTTAGCATCGATTTTGAAAATCAACAAAATGAAGAGGAAGATTATTTTTTAATAAATAATTTTAAAGAAACAACAAAAGCGCGGAAGAGAAAGCTACCAACAACACCAACAATAAAACAACAACAACAACAGCGACAACAAGAGAAGACCAATTAAGTAAATATACAACAACTGCAACGACAGCCAGCATTCAACAACAACAGCAATCACAACAACAACAGCTTGAAGGCCCACAACAAACAAATACACACACAGGCCCATCAACATGCATATATACTATATACATTATATATCTAATTGTACTACTTTATAGTAAAGCCTAGAGAAGAAGAGAAAAACACCAAGATGAATAGCACACTTAAATGTAAAACAGGAAGAAAAAAAAACAAAACCAAAATGCGCTGTTGAAACAGAAACCACCAATGGGTAACGCTTTATAAGTATATATATATATCTCTAAATATATATACATATATATATATATCTAAAACTTAGAAGAAGAAGATTATAAATTAGAAACGTATGTAAAAGCAGGATTTCCAAAATTCTCGTGGCAAAGAAAAAACTAAAGCTAAAACGAAAAAAGATAGATGTCTCTTTTCTTGACCAAAAATACTGAGCCAGAAATAATAATTTCTTTTGGATATACTTTCTTCTTCTTTCAAAAGCGAGACCACAAAGCAAAACAAAAACAAAAAGAACACATAAACGAAGCAAAAATCAAATCAATAGAATTATATCAAATTAGAGTGCTTGTATGTCAAGTATGTGTGAGTTTGCAGACAGAAAATTAACCAATAGTATGTAAAACTAAGGAGAAAAGCTGGCGAGAGAGTGTTGTATCTGTGTAATGCCCATTTAAATTAGATATTAATGTAGCAAGCAAACAAAAAATCGTAGCAAAAATGTGTAATAGTGCAATAAGCTAACAAAAGCCACACCCACCCCCTCCCTTCTTCCTCCTTCATCCTGCAACCTCCCCCCATTTAACAAAATTTTTTAGAGAATTTTTATTTTGATCTTGTTCTGGAAAGACACGCATATAAGACATTATCATATAATATAATATGTAGTGATTGCGTAGAACCACACCTTCTCTTGCAATTTAAATTCCTGCCTTAATGCCATTGAAACGGAATACGGAATCAAAGTAACAGCAGAACAGCAAATGTCCCCAAAATTTGATACACCCTCAAACAACTAAAGCTTATAACAACATTTATATACAAGGAAAGGTAAAACATGAAAAAAAGAAAGAAAACGAAAATAGCTTAGAAATAGACAACACAATTATCACGATAAGCAAAAAGAGAAAAAATCTAGCAAAAAACGGCAACATAAAACTGAATGTTATATTTTGGAGCATTTTTTCAATGTGTATGTGTTAGCATATATATTACATATATATATCTAGAGAGAAAGCGAAGGAGCAGGATTGATAAAAGTATTAGCAAAAGATATCTCTTGAACAATAATGAAGGACAGACAGAGATGGAGAGAGCAGGTCGTCTCTTTCTACTCCCCTTAAATATTTGCAAGTTTTTTAGGTCGGGGCAATGAATATAAAACTATATATCATCTATCTATATATATTTGTATACACAAACTAAATTGAGCAGGTCAGATAGCGTGAATTTTCCATATATTTTGTAAATACTTTAAAAACAAGTGGGAAACTGTCGAGCTTTGAGTTCTTTTCATCACGGGGGGCTTATTTTGTTTTGATAATGTTTTTTTTTTACCAAAGGGACAGCAAATCAAAAATTATTTTCACACAAGAAAGTTTTACACGAAAGGAAAGAGCAAGCAAGTAATCATAAAAATCGAAATCTTTAAACTAGAAATATATATATGTGTATGGAACGTCTGTGTAAATGTGTTTGAATGTAAAATGCTTTAGTCACATAAGTTGAAAGAGAAATTTGAATTAACTAAATAGTTATATATGCCTGTGTCTGTCACTCGATTTCTGTTACTAATCATAAAATAAATTGTATAAAAATAATAATACCAACACACGTTTGAAGAATTAACATTAACTCTTCAATTAGCTCTTATGTTCTTTAATTTATGTTTTTTTTTACGTTGTATTAACTGAAAAACACTTTTTGAAAATGTTTTTTCTTGATTTTTGTAACCATCCTTTGTAAGTAGGCAAGTAACAAATGATTGAACATAATACTTTTTTGCGTACTTTTTATTAAAAAAAAATCAAACAAGGAAAACAGCAAACAACAGAACGATTTCATTTTAGAAATTTAAGCTTAACTTAACTAATTATTAATGTTTAAACAAATTTGTTCTTTAAGTTGAAAACAAATCGGGAGTATTGCAAATTATAATTATCTTTAAATATACACAACAAAAAAACAACAAAACAAAGGAGAAAACTCAACAAAAAAATTATATTTATAGAAAAAGCAGACAACAACAAAAACAAGAAAAGATTATAACAAAAAACAATTTCAAACAAAAAAGAAAACGAGAGAAAACCTTTTTAGCTGTAAATGTAACATGTAAAATTAATTTTAAACGAAATGCATACAAAAATAAACAAACAAAAAAATCAACAAAATCGTAAGAGTATGTCAAGAAGTAAAAAAGCGTAAAAAAAGAATATATATAAAGAACGATATATATATATATATTATATAAATGTAAATGTGTAAAGAAAACAGAAAATGCGTAAAAAAAAAAAATAAAAAAAGAGATTTCAAAGCAAAATTATTTGAAAATCGTTTTTCTGCGGGAGGCGGGTAGTGTTCATGTTATATTTGTTTGAACTCGTAAGAATATTCATAATTAATTGCCAAAAATCCCTAGAACGTTTCTTTTGGTTTTTTAATAATTTTTTGGGAATACATACGTGATGTCTGTGGTAAGAACAAATGCTGAAAATATGGAATTCTTATTATTTATTTACGCCTTGATCCCGTTCTATCCCTTGGTTTGGGTTCCATTTTTGCCGTTCTAAACACAATATAGAATATTTTACAATGCATACTTTCGGGCCCAGTAATAAAAAATACTTTTATTTATTTCTCATATTTTTCGGTTTATTTCTGAGTCAAGCTAAACGTACACTCTTTCAATCGCCATTTTTTAACTCTCGTAATTATAATTTATATTTGTATATATATTTATTATATAAAAAAAATGCGGGTTGTTGCTCGATTTTGTTTTGGATGCGTGAGAGTTCGTGGGGGAAGAAAAAAAAATGGTTCAATGTTCTTGCTGTGGCCGAGTTCTAGTGTTTTTCGCAACAATTTTCACAGGGGAAACGAGGGAAATGCTTGATACAAAGTTGAACCAACCATCAATTGATTGCATATATAACTTATATATTTAATAATAATAATTATCATAATAATAATAGCTTAAATATTACAATACAGAATGCAGTTTTACAAATGTAAACAAAGAAGCAAATCAATCGGGAGTTATTGCTAAATATATATTGGATGTGTTTCAGCGTGAAAAAAACCGTTAGTAAAGGAAAATCTCCAAAGCTTGTCACAAACATTAGTTTATCATTCTTCATTTGTATTTCTTGTTTATATATCCCTACTCATTTGCTTTCGGCTTAGAAAATTACAAAAATTGCATTAAAAATTTGTTTCGATTCACTTCGTTTACAATTAATAATTGGAGATATTTTTTGTTTTTGTTATCGTTTTTCTTTGTTTTTTTCTCTTCTCTAGCATTTTAAGTGTTTTATACTTTAAACTATTTTGTATATATTTAAATATATATATTTAGATGTATTTATAAAAAGCTTTTCTGTGTGGTTTCTTGTTGGTTTGTGTTGTTTGCATTTTGCTATTAAACTTTAAAATATTACAAAAAATGTATGCATATGTATAATTAAACAAGAGAAATATCTATAGCATTTATTAAATTGCATAATTACGGTTTTGCTTTAGGTGTCTAAGATTGATTATATTTAATACGTTTAAGCTTTAGTTTTTGTTTTAACATTTTATTGTACGGGGCAACACAAAAATCGATAATTCAAAAGAAAAAACGAAAACTAAACGACAGAATTTATAAGCTGCCTGTCTGTGTGCTTTTCATTTGATGTTTTCGGGAAAATTGGTTGCCTAAATAATATATTTATGTATATTACAATGCAAGTTAACTTGGATTACGTGTTTGAGTGTTTGAGTTTTGAGTGTGGCAATTAATTTTGATATTCTCTGCTGTTTGTGTGTGTGTTCTGGAGTTCTCTAAGTTAATTATTTATTAACATATCGTTCTGTTCTTCTATTCTTCATCTTCTATTCTGTGGTTGGTGTTATCCGTGTGGCCGTTGTTGTTTTCCAAGTTGTTGCTGCTGCAGTTGTTTGTTGTTCATCGTATGGTTGTTGTCGGTTTTTCTGTTTCATCCTACAGCAGTTGGCAGCAGTGAGAATTGGGCTTCGGCGGCTGTTTCACGTCCGTCTGACGTTGTTTTTTACGCGATGAAATATCCCTGATTAGATCATAAAATACCTAAACATATAAGAAAGATTTATTAGTACTTTATTTTATTTGAAATGTTTTATTGTATTAATTTTTCAGGTGGTGGGGTTAAATTGTTTTTCTATAATTACAGAAATTTTGAAAAGTTGCTAAAACCAAAGTAGAAAAGGCAAATGAAAAGTTTAATCAGTATCTTAAACTCTCTTCATTCACCAGAGAACAGGAAATTTCAATACATAAAAAGAGTTAAGTTTCAGAAACATTATACAACAAATTTGTGTCCTTATAATATTAAATATTCTTTTATTTATTTTGTAATATCTAAGAAATTACCCGTTCTTTGTAACTTATGGTTTTCATACACCAAAAGAAAGTTTTTAGGAACTACAACCGAACCAAATTAAATTAAGTGAAAATCTCAAGCATATTTCAAAAGCAAATTCAAATATACTGAAATGCTTAATAAAATATTAAAAAATCTTGCTTTGTAAAAGTGTTTGTATAGGCGTGTATGTACAGATGTGTATGTTTTCTTTTTGTGTAAGTGTTAATATCGACTGGAAAGTTTTTTTCTTTAATTCCTCAGTAATGGAACTTGTAATAAAAAAAGAAGCCAACCGTTGTTTGAAAAACCCACATT